AAAAACGTTCCACGATTTGCATGCGGGCCGAATACTGCCAGGTTGCACAGGTCCATGCAGGTAAATTTTCTTGGAGAATTCACAACCGAAGCCTTCGACCAACCAAAGCCTGACCCGCAAGGCAGCGGTGCGTGCACGAAAACCGTAATCCATTGGGATCCATTGTCCAGTTCATCGGATCATACTCCCTTTGAATGGGGTCAAGCGTCCAAGGTGTCCAATCGAGCCGGTGACCGTTGTCACAACCGGGAAGGTGTGTGGTTCGTACGCCTCCTCTTGGTTGGCTTGGAATGAGGGTTTTTGGCAAACTTCCCTAGGTGAACTACCAGTGGTCCACCAACCCGGTTATAGCCCCGGATATCNNNNTTTTCGTACTCTCACTTTGATGTGAAGGCACCTCCGCCACGAGAAGACAGTGAGTAAGAATTCGTCAGCAGGGGCTATTCGAGACGCATCGTCGTATGGGAGCATTTCACGAGGTGCAGGGGGAAAGTGATCAGCCGCAACCCCCACTCACCCCCGACCATTCTGAGACTTTTAGAGTAAAGTGTTTAGTGAGATCACATGTGTGAATAGTCCACCTCGGACTCAGTTACGATAGATAACATCTTGTGCCAATAGGAGATCAGCTTTGTGTCCTATTTTGTTCAACTAAACCGAACTCCGGTGATCCGCGGTAAACTGCGGGTTTTGCGTTCGGGTTTGAGCCATCACACGTTCGATGAATATGCACTGCTTCAAACTACTAACAAAGGCAAAACCACTCTGTCATGCTTTGGAGGTTTTTCCGCGGTATGTGCGACATTGTACAGTATTGTATTTAGAGTGACAGCTTTGAAAGCTGTAGTTGGTGAATGCCAATGTCTAACAGTACTTTGGTCCCACAACGAAATTAAGTGTTTCATTTTCGTTTTTGGCACAACAGTATTTTCTTATGTGCCTTTCTTTTTCAACGCGGTAGGATTTTCAACTGCGTGCGGTGTTTCGAACCGCCGGGGATCCTATGAATCCTGGCTCCATGCGTCGTCTCTTGGATTCCGGCCATCACAATCAGGGGCTGTTTTTCGAACGGTCCCCGTTGGCTTCACTCGTGACGCATTTCGTGGAAACTTTAAGCTTCTGTATTTGGCGAAGCTTACATGGAAAGTGACCCAGAATTTCCATTATGGTCTTTCTTGTACAAACACCAACATACTTCAGATTTATCTACCTTTTTTATGGTCAATGCTGATTTTCGACACACCGGCTTATGCTTTTGCAATTTTCACTTGCAATTGTAATGAGGGATTACGTCATGTAAAGACGGTAATGTAGCACACACACTGGAAGAACGCACTTGAAGAAACTCCTCAGTCATAAGTCTTTGCGGGTGACACAGATTTGTATTCATCATCACGATCACTATTTGATATAGCACGATAACCTCGAGATACCAGAGTACACTGCAGCAATTGGCCTGCGTAACAACTCAAGGTATGAGTGATGAGTTAACAGTTGTGAATGGTTCGATAACTACAACAGTCGTCTGAATTTCACTTCTGTTTCACTTGCATTTTCGAGGTTGTTCAGTTACGCTGTTTGATAGATTCGAGCTATTAGAGTAATATGAGAATTATACCACAGTAAATGCTGTCTTCCGTTGTCCGAACTCATGATCACCTCAGAACGTTGGACCATCGGCACCATTTTCTTTTTTTCCCAGATATCAGATAGATAACATGACATATTGTTTGTAAGGAGAGGTTTAGATGGCTAGCGCTATCTATGTTAGCGCTAATTCCGCCCAGGTTTGCGAATACCCCGACTATTGCTCCGAACTAGTAAGAAGACGGGCAATGAGACTAGTTTGAAAAAGGTGAAAGTACTGTGGTACTACAAAGCCCCTCCCCCTCTAGAGGGCTATCGAAAAAGAGCTTTCGAAACGAGTTTGCAATGTGACGGCACGTGTGAGTTTGTGTACCAAAATGGGATAGCGAGTAAAGTTAACGTTATCCGGAATGATCGGAAATACGATAAAATATACAATCGGTGGACGTTAGGGTGAAGAACCAAATACCGAGGAAACTATCCACTGAACGTAAAGGCGAGTGAAAAGATTGTAGTAATGTCGTTAGAGCAAGGAATGTTCAACTGTAGGTCAATGGGATTGCGGTCACGGTTCTCCTTTTCGAAGAGCAGAAACTTTGTTCTCGGTTAAGTACTTCCTCTTCCACGGTTTTCAGAGCTGGAGATACGTGCCGACTATCCTTAAAAAATGATCTAGGCCTTTAAGAAGAAAGGACGAGACTAGCCAAAACCTTGCATAAACGGACATCGGGTGTAAGGTTGACTGAACAACCCTCACGGCACATCCGTTTGGGTCCTCGATCCGGAGTTATCATCCAGAGGCCATACGTTGTCGGTTGGATAACTCTTATATCTGGATGAGTGCAGAAA